TATGCCTGGCTAATTTTTGTATTTTTGGTAGAGATGGGGTTTTGCCATGTTGGCCAAGCCGGTCTCGAACTCCTGACCTCAGGTGATCCACCTGCCTGGGCCTCCCAAGGTGCTGGGAATATAGGCATGAGACACTGTGCCCAGCCAGTAACTGCTTGTTGAATGAATGAATATCTCTTCTCTCATATCACTGAGGCAGGGTAAGTAGGAAATGACCTTCCCCTTACTAGTCCCCATCTCCCTGCCACAGTGACATGATTTCTTGAGAGGAGCATGGCGCTGTAGTGGCAGGACCACAGCTTTGGAGTTGGACCTGAGTTTAAATCCTGACTTTTCCATACCCTATCTTTGTGACCTCAAGCAGGTCATCATGGCTCTCTGAGCCTTAGTTTCCTCATCTACAAGGAGAGGCTAAAGTACCTACCCCACAGGCTGGTGGGAAGATTTTGTGGTCCTGGGAAGGACAGTGTGCAGACCAGCATGGTTGTCACTCATTTTTAGGAATGCAGGGAGAAGAATGCTCAGTATGCCCTGTTCCTGCTCACCTGGCCCTGAGCCCAAACCTTTCTAGGATGAGTGGGCTCAGCCTCTATGTCCCTGTGTGGGGAGATGACAATACCCTAAGGAAGCAGCAGGGCCCCTACCATGGCCTGACCCTACAGCTGAAGTGGCTAGAGGGTTTTCTTTTTTTGTTTGTTTGAGACAGAGTTTCGCTCTTGTTGCCCAGGCTGGAGTGCAATGGCGTGATCTTGACCCACTGTAACCTCCGTCTCCTGGGTTCAAGCAATTTCTCTACCTCAGCCTCTGGAGTAGCTGGGATTACAGGCATGCGCCACCATGCCCAGCTAATTTTTGTATTATTAGTACATGACCATGTTGGCCAGGCTGGTCTCAAACTCCTGACCTCAGGTGATCCACCCGCCTCGGCCTCCCAAAGCGCTGGGATTACAGGGGTGAGCCACCGTGCCCGGCCTAAAGGGTCTTTTTATTATCACCACTTGATCTGCTCTATCTCATTTGGTCCTCACAACAACCCTATGAGGTGGGTTGCTATTACTGTCCCCATTTGACAGATGAGGAAACTTCATTGACTTGCTGAAGGTCATGCAGTTACAAGCTGTAGAGACAGCCTAGGTCTGTCTTACTCCAGCCCTGGTACTCTTGGTTCTGGTCCCTAAGAAGTTTAAGTCCCCATCCTTCCTGCATTCTGGTGACTCCCAATTCTCATACCCACTCCCTGCAGACCAAGGGAGCTACCAACATCATCTGCCCTTGCCGGGTGGGCTTGACATGCATATCCAAGGACTTGATGTGTGCCAGCCGGTGCCATATGATTTAGAGGAAGATGCAGACTGATCACTGCTCCTTTGGGGCCAGAGGCCCTGGGTGCCACCAACTTGCACCAAATCCAGCTCCTGAGACATTAAAGTCACTTCCTGGCCTGGCCTCTGTCTGTACTTTCTGGGCGAGGAGACCTGGTGGGGATTGCACCAGTCTAGGGGGCAGGCAAAAGGGGAGACTGGAGGCATGAATGAGCTTCTCATGGGATTTGGCTCTGTCGGGAGCTCAGGGTAGAACTCCAGGAAGGGAATGGCGCAGGGAGGGTGTGGTGGAGCAGGGGCTGGGTCTGGGAAAGGGCCGATTCTCTGGTTGGAGGGCTGGAGGGCTGTGTGGGAGAGATGGGATTGAGGAATATGCCTGTAGAGTGTACGTTGGGGTGCCTATCAAGGGGTGTGTGGTAGGTAGAGACTAGGTGGAGGTATCTGAATATTTCACGGGGCAGGTTGGGGGGCACAAAAGGGTAGAGGTCATTAGAGAGTTGGTGAGAATGTGCAAAGTATAAATGCAAAAATGCCTGTGGTGGGAAAGGGACCTGGTGCATCGATGCCTCCGCTCTCTCAGGTATTGTCAGTTCCACTGCATGGACAAAGAAACTGAGGCCCAGAGAAGCGACATGACTTGCCCTAGGTCATATAATTGCGGTAGCAGTGAGGCCTGTTTCTGCTGCAAGTATCTTAAAAACCAACCCAAATTGGTCTAGGTGAGGAGGGGATTTCCTGGTGATCAGAAGTGGAAGTCCAGAGGTCGGGCAGCCCTCAGGTGGGGCCAGAGCCAGCAGCTCTCAGGCTGAATTCCTTCCCAGTACTCACAGACATTCCAGGTGTCACCTAATAACAGGTAGGATTTATTGAGCATTTCCTGTGTTTCAGACACTGTGCGAGTTGCTTTCTTTTTCATTTAATTTAAAAATTTAAGACAGTACCCTGGCTGGAGTGCAATGGCTCAATCGCAGCATACTGCAGCCTCAACCCCCTGGGGTCAAAAGATCCTCCCACGTCAGCCTCCCAAGTAACGGACTACAGGTGTGTGCCACCATGCCCGGCCAATTTCTTTCTTTCTTTCTTTTTAATAGAGACAGGGCCTCAGTATATTGCCCTGGCTGGTCTTGAACTCCTGGGTTCAAGTGATCCTCCTGCCTCAGCCTCCCAGAGTGCTGGGATTACAAGCATGAGCCACTGCGCCTGGCCCAAAGTGCTTTCTTAACTGTATTGACTCATCTTTCTGTCACAACAGGGCTATAGTAGGTGTTATAATTATCCCTATTTTACAAACAGGGTATTGAGGCTCCTAGAGTAAGGGTTGGAACTGAGACTTGAACCCAGACAATCCTGCCCCAGAGGCCAGGCTCTTAACCAGAAATCCACCATGTACATCAATATTGTGCCTTTCAGAGAAAGAAAACATCTCTGTTCCACAATTCTCAGCAAACATCCTAAGATCGGTTCTGATTGGATTGGCTTAGTCTGCCTGAACGAATCATTGTGGTGGAATTTGCTGATTGGCCTAGCCTGAGTTTTGTGCAGGATGGGAAAATTCTGACAGGGTTGGGTGCTGGTTTTACCTGGTGTTCCCACAGCTGGGAGCACACCCACATGGTTGGTGTGCAGGATATTTTGCTGGACCTTAGAAAAGCCGCACCACTTGTGGGCCACGATGCTACCCCAATGGCTACTGCTGCTGTTCCTTCTATTCTCCTTTCTCTTCCTCCTCACCAGGGGCTTTCTCCAACAAAATACAACCTTTTGGTAAGAAAGCTGGAGAGTGCAGTCACCTCCTCCTCCACTGTCCTAAGGCCTGTACTATTTGGGGAAGTGAGTGGGCATGGAGGCTGGTGTGGGAGAAGGCCAGAAGTGGGGGCAGCAGGGAGTGCTGGGTGGAGGATGTCTCGGAGGAAAGAGAAGACACCTTGGTCCTGGGAGCTGTGCCAGGGCAGTGCCAGGTGCTGCTGCCACAGAGGTGAAAGTGAGAGAGCCCCCCTGCCCACGCACACATGTGGTGAGGGAGACAGGTATTCACTCATGCAACACATTTTTATTGAGTACCTGCTATATGTAAATTATTTTTCTACATTTAGTGATAGGTCTGTGAGCAAGAAAGATAAAAATCCTTGCCCTTGTGGAGCAGTCACTGTAGTGTGTGAGGCAAAGAAGTAAAACCTTACAATAGATGCTGTTAATAATGGCATCTATCTCAGGTGATAAGCAAGGAAAGTGAAAATAAGAAACGGGCTAGGGACGTGGTGGTATGAGAAGGGTTTGCAGGGTTTTTTGTTTGTTTGTTTGTTGGTTTGTTTTTTTTGAGATGGAGTCTTGCTTTGTCACCCAGACTGGAGTGCAGTGGGGCAATCCCAGCTCACTGCAACCTCCGCCTCCTGAGTTCAAACGATTCCCCTGCCTCAGCCTCCCAAGTAGCTGGGATTGCAGGCACCCACCACCATGCCCAGCTAATTTTTGGGGTTTTTTTTGTATTTTTAGTAGATACAGGGTTTCACCGTATTGGTCAGGCTAGTCTTGAACTCCTGACCTCAAGCAATCCCCCTGCCTTGGCCTCCCAAAGTGCTGGGATTACAGGCATGAGCCACAGCACCCGGCCAGCGTTTGCAGTTTTAAATGGGGTGCTCAGGGAAGAGCTTACTAAGAATGGGAAATTTTAGCAAAGGCCTACAGGGAGGGAAGTCCTTCCTAATGGGCAAAGCAGGCAGGTCTCTGGGAGAAGAGCGTTCCAGATGGAGGGAACAGCCAGGACAAAGGTCTGGGGGTGGAAATGTGCTGACATATTCAAGGAATAGCAAAGAGGAGTGAGAGAGAGTGGAAATCATGGGAGATGAGATCAGAGAGATAAATGGAACAGAGTTACAATATTCTCATTTATTCAACAGTTATTCATTCAGCACCTGCTAAAGTCCTTACACATTACAAAGCACCTGCAATGTGTAAGGACTTTAGTCCAAGGGGCTAAGAAATACAGCAGTGAATATGAGAGCAGAAGATCTGTGTCCTAGAGCTGAGGTGCTAGCAGGGGGAGATAAATTATTTTTAAAACATATAAATAAGATGATTTCAGAGAGTCATAAGTGTTGTGACCAAAGTACAACCAGGTGATGGGGACTGCTCTGCTGGTGTCCAGGAAGTCTTCAGCCCGAGGCAGGAGCGGGAGACAGCCGGGCAAAGAGTGCAGGACAGGGTGCTCTGGGCAGAGGGCCAGCAAGCACAGATGCCCTGGGGTCAGGCCAGGTGTGGATTCAGAGCCCCAGTGATGGCTTTGAATCCAGAGAATGACATTGTGGAAATTATCTTTTGAAAAAGACTCCTCTAGCTGTTCTGGGAAGAACTGACTTGAGGAGGTTGGGGAGGTGGAAGCGAGAATGGAGATGGTGAGGGGGCACCTGGGGGAGGTCACTGGCAAGGGTGGAAGCAGGGGGGCCGGGAGGCGGCTATAGCCAATCCTCCATTCCTGCTTTATTTTCTTTATAGCACGTAATCACACATAATAGGATTATACATGTATAATATAAATATTACTTGCTTTATATATATAACATATATGGTAAAAATTACACCTAACTAGGTGCCCAAATCTTGAGTTTACATAGAAATCAATGGATTTGAATCTATGCAGACCCCCTCATCACTGCCATCAGAACAAGATATAGGACATTTTCAGCACCCCAAAAGGCTCACTGTCCCCTAGTCAATAGAACCAAAGGCAACTGTCTCCTGACTTCCATTATTATTATTATTATTATTATTATTATTATTATTATTTTTGAGATGGAGTCTCG